AGTGAAAAAGACAATCAGAATTCATTATTGCCTTCACAGAGTGAAAAGGACTGAATCTTTGGCAAAGCAAATTTCAAATAATTCAATTTTTTTTGGTAGTGCTAGACAATTTTCGAGCGGTATTATTGGATATAAATTTTATAAAGCCAAAAAGGTCGTCGTCAAATGATTCTTCCCGTAATTTTTTGAAATTTTCTATTCAAAACTATTAATGTAAAATGAAAGGAACTGAAAATTTTGTTATCTAATAAAAATTTAAGTCGATAGTAATTCTTTCTGTTTTCTTAAAAAAGAATTCTTGACGTTTTGGAATGCTAAAAACTGATCTTCTCACTCTCTGCAATGTACTGACTGACTGGTAACGAATTGATGCTTAGACTGGCATAGAATGTGATTTATGGCTGACTGTCTCAGAGAGAGAAACCATCACAGTCGCCTGCTCTCACATGCACTCTTTTTGCTACCTCTCTGCCAGAGGTCAAAAGGTGCTAAAAATAATCCCAAAATCCACCTAGACATTATTGAATGTTTCGTAAAAGATAAATTATTTCGCCTTCGGTAGTAGTGCATTCTGAGAACCAATTCGAACGTTCTTTTCTCTCCTATTTAGAATCAGTTAATTCTCAATCTACCAAAATAAACATTTGTGATAAAACAAACAAGCAAGGGACCAAATCACTAATTTGAGAACAGATGAAAATAAGTACCGAAAAGATTTTAAATTAATTCAACTAGTAAATTCGCTACTTCTATAGCTATTGAAAATGACATTTTTCATCTGCTAATTATGTTTTTGATATGACCATTGAACTGATGATTTTGCCAAAAAAGGAATTATATATCTTTCATTACTGTTGAGAATAGTTATCAAATTTACAGTGAATAGTACAATATTTTTTGGAAGTGTAAAGAAATATTAAGATCAAGATTTAGATCATGCTTAGTATTAGTTCATACCATGAAATAGTTTGGAAGCTCACACAAGAACTTTTACATGCTAGTTAGTTTTCATTTCATCAGGTAGACATTTAATTTATTCATGATTCTGTTCATTTAATTTTTCGACGTTTGCTGTATTTCTACGATCACGTTACATTCACTGTTCAAATTTTGTAACAATAACAAAATTCATTGATTCACAAACGTATCAAACCATAGAAGCTCAAGAAAGGTTGCTCATACTATTTTAAACAAATCTTTAGTGAAATGAAATTTTATACTTGCGTAATCATGCATGCAGCGCCAGTATCGGAGTAAATATTTATACTACAATTGCATTATAATCTAACGCTGTGAATGAAAAAATGACAAACTAATGAAAATTACAGCTTGAAATGAGACAACGTGTAAAATGCCTTCATCAAGTTTCACTGCTGTGGTTCTTATCTCATTAATTTTTTGTTTCTAACTAATCAATGAATATATATTAATGATAAATCACGGAGTAGGTGTTTCTAACATAAGATCATTTACTTATATCCTTGACACCAAATCATTACCACATCACATCTTACCACATCAAAGTTTGCGTTGATTCTCACACATTCATCTTTTGAGTAAACTTATAAGCAATATTTTTATTCCATGCGCAATCCTATCAGAAGAACCTCAGCAATGATTAACAAAGTATGTTGAAATCAACTAACAGGCTGGTAAATTTTCAGCTAAATTTGCTTTATCACCAATTTTTGGTTACCATTTTGAAAAAAAACCTGAGAATTGGAAAAGCCGTTACATTTTCGACCTGTATGCTAATTGCTTTATAGGAAGTAATGGCTTGCATGCTCGTTCGCGTCAAATATTTTTAATGCAAAGAAAAGATTTAGTAGTGCAACCTTGATAGCGTTATTAGTTAAGGTATGAGAGGATACATTTCAGGATGCATTTTTTTATCTCTGAGATAAAGTAAGAAATACTATAATAGTTGCGACAGTAGCATTGATAATGTGTGAAATTTCCCTCAATTGAGTTCATCTTCAATATTTATGTTAATCAGTATGATTTCATTCACAATTACTGACAATTTTTTCCAGCAAGTTTTTAATTATTTGAAATGCCTTTTGCATATTTTGTTATTCACAGGAACAAAAATGAGCACAAGATGAGTTAGTAGATTTGAGTGTACCGAATTTATGTATAAATTAATTTAGTGATTTAAAAGACAGAATGAAGAACAAATATTTATATCATCTGAGCAATCAACCTCAAGTAAATATTGTACTGTATTATAGCAATCGATTTGATGACAAATTATCATAATGATAGTAAATCTGTTCATTTATTCAGCAACGCACTTTTTCATTAGACGGACTAACAATTTAATTTCTGAGCAAATCAAAATTGGTACTCTCAGTGAGACTGAGTACTCGCAAGCCGAAAACAGATGAGACTTGTGCTCCGCTCGGGTAAATTTGATTTATGGCTGACTGTCTCGGAGAGAGGCACTCCCAATGGCTTGCAATTGTACAAACGCTTCTTTCGCTTTTAACTGTCAATTCGGTTCGTTCTTTTTCGCTTTGCTTTCCTTTGTGTGTGTTGCACATTGATATCATTTCATTTCAAACACTAATAGATTTATTTGCTCCAAAATTGGCCGGCAATTTTGAACAGTCGATGTGGTAATAATAATATTAATAATAATCACTTTTAAAATTACTTGAAAAACTTGAAAATTTTAAAAATTTTCTTCATTACTTTTGAAAGCACTTAATAATTTGATTAATAAATGCGTTATAAAAAAATGACAACTTAGCATCTTCTATAATTGATAGATACACTTAAACGAAAAACATAGCATTGTTATTTTTATTAACTTATGCTATATTAGTAATTGCAAATGAAAGCAATGCTATATGGATTTGATGAAGTTTCATTTATGTCTTTGTTTTCCTGTAGAATTTTGCATGAAATCATCCGTCTAGTATTTACTTGCAGTAATTTGCAATCGAAAATTACTGCTGTAGTAATTTATTGAAAGCAAATGGTAGATATTTTGTTGCATTTCGAACAAACTACTCTGATAAGCTAATATGACTGCAAATATTTTATTTCATTGAGTGGCATCAAAAATTTGTTATTATGCATGGAGATAATCACTTAAGATTGTGCTTTATTACGGTAACTTCGAGGCGTTTATTTTAGATGTTAACACTGGCATATGATTTATTTCCTTCAAGTATCAACATTTTTATTAACATTTTTTTCACATTCAAACAACTGTGAGGCAAATATCAATACAAAATTTAAGATTAAAAACTCGAAGTAGGATAGAAGCAAAAAAGAACAAAAATTGCTCTAAATATTAAAATTATTCAACAATTTATCAACAATACTTCAAACAAAGTTAATTAACTGCAAGTTTGAAAATTTGGATAAGATTAGTGTCTCGAAACTATTTACCTGTAATATACCCAAAAGTTCTGTACATAACAGCATGAAATTATTCGCGCTATAATAGTATAAAAATGTAATAATACACGATATTAATAATTGCAGACTGTACAATGTTGATGGAAACTACAAAATTTTTGTTAGCTTTTGACATCAAATATTCTTCTGTGAATATTCTGTTCCTCTGAATAATTAATTATGCAAAAATAAAAATAAATCAATGATAGATGTCGATCAAAAATAATAATTGATGATTAGCTATGGCAGTAGTGGAAATCTTAAAGTATGAAGTTAATCTTAATTTTTATTAAGATATCTATTCAAATTCGTTGTTTATTTTAAAACGAAAAGTAAATAAAACTTTAATTTTTACAACTCAAAGCCAAACAGTGGTAATTTACATCCATCTCTGAGTTACAAATATAACAACAATACAGTTATGCATCTGTGCATAATTTATATCATTCAGCTCGGAGTAACAATCTAACTTCCAATTCATTTTTCAACTATACTAATCTTACATTGCATGCAGTCTTTTTCCAGCGGAATTTGTATGTATGACAGTAAAATGACTTAACAAACCTAAACTCTCTACCCTGAACAATCATAGAAATTATCATGCATTCAGGTCTAAACACTCTCCTCTTCACTCCCTGTTACTAAACAATCCTTATTATCAGAGGGAACTGGCTCAGGTTGCATGCTTTTAATTCAGTAAGCAATCTCTCAGCTAAGTTGATATCAAAAGTAAAAATAATAATAATGTTCATGGATACAATGGCAATCAGTTATTGCCATCATAGTGACAGTTAATTAATCAACCATTGATTAATGACAATCAGTCAACCAATCGATTCATCAGCTGATCGATCAGTCAATACATATACATATACACTTGTGCTATTATAATAATAAATAATAATGCTGATAAATAGCAATATTATATCTCATTAATAATGCTCTCAAAAGCATGGCGAGCATCATTTTCGCAGCACTAGTATATAACGATTGTATTAAAAATTAGCAGTATCAAATTGAAGCAATAGTGCCATTATGATAAAAATAGTGAAAAAAAGCAATTATTTATGCATTCATAGATATAACTTTCTCACGTACGTATGTATTCACGTGTATATTATACTATAATGTCAAATCATTAAATTTTTGTAAAAAATATGAAAGCACGAAATGAAATAAATTTTTGTAAAAAATTTATTCATTGAATAACTGTTTGTTTCTTAATTTACTTTAAAAATATGAAAGCACGAAAATAGTTATAATTAATTTATTTATTAACAACTTATTTTGGACTTGATACTGTTGTTTGAAATTGCAGGTAGAATTTTAAACTAAAAATACTGTAATTTGTTCAAAAATTAAAAAAATTGATAATAGAATGAAACAAATGAATAGTATTTTTGGAATGTAACAGTCGGAAAAAAGAATGAACTTAGGAAAGCAGACTATGCTAATTACTCAGTAAGGTAAAACTGTCGCATAGAAAGTTGTAGTTGTTACTTCTGCAAAATTTGGAAAAAGTAATTTTTTTCTAAATTTTGTAAAAGTTTTTTTTTTTGTTAATTTTCTAGTTTTTTATTCATGAACTGATTTTCCAATTTATAAATCAATTAATAGATTTGTTCATAAAAGTCTGTTTTCCTTATTAAAAGTTAAACTTTCAGCACTGGCCATTATCTGAATCTGCGAAGCGATAAATTTGGTACTTTTTGTATTGCTCAAAGTGAAGCTGCCAATCAACAATGTACTCGTTTTCCCAGCGATACATTTCTTGCTTCCAACGCATCACTTGATCACCCGTATCATCTGCAATATTTATTAAAATTCTGCACAATTAATTAGTAAATTATTTTTCCCTTTTTTTATTCGAAAAAAATTTTACGCTTTATTTTTTGTTTTCAGAAAGATAATTTTGATCAAATTTATTTTTGCTATAAAAATTGGAAAAAAATATTTTTGGAATTAAAATTATGCAAATAATCTTATCACTGTACAATTGCAAAGATTAATACCCTTTTTTATATTAATTATTATATACTCAGAAAAAAAAGATAAACTGCTAGAAAAACTAAAATTAGGCATATTATAACACTACAAAAAAAAACAACCTAACAAACTTTTTTTGGAGGGCTGAATAAAAATTATTGTTTTTTTTAATAATGTGATGTAATACTTTAAAAAATATTAAAAAGTTTTACCAATGGCAGCCATCAAATTGGGCAGAATCTTTTTCCAAAATGAACATTGTTTCCGTCTTGGCCCAGTACCGATTCTCGACGCTCCAGCATTATAGTCTGATTCTACAGTTAAATTCATGTATTCCATGCTTACTTGTGTATAAAGTGGCCATACATCTGAGGTATACGTTCCATCGGGATTTTTGTTGGGATTCCCAAAATATTTGATTAAGTTTAGTTAATTAAGATTACTACTGTAGATTGAATTTTATGACTGCATTGTAATTAAAAAGCTTTTTAAAAAATAATTGAATTTTTTATGATGCACTAATTTATTTCTCCAGTGCAATTAGTTCTGAATTAATTTCATTTTCTTCCAAATTTTCCAATAAGTTTGTATTTGTAATGCATAATATATATACTAAATTATATTATTTGCGGATAACTGAAGAAAGTATAGATATTGATGAAACTACAGATGAGTTGTAAAGTATAGATCTTGATCTTGATTCAGAAATGTTAACCCATATCAATAGTATAATAAAATAACACACCCAGTACGTGCAAAATTTGCCCAGTATCGCATAAATCTCAAACTAAGTTCTTGTTCTTCTTTTGAATAATGGAATTTTTTAGTATTCAATGGTTCGCCAAAGATGAAATTTATTTCATATCCATGTAGAACACCCATCCATTCGGGCCATGTTTGTTGACTTGCTCGATGAGTAAAATAATAATAATATGTATCACCTAAAGCATCAACAAAACGAATATGTAAAAATTGTGAGCAGTAAAATTTATAATGTGTATTAAAGCTATAAGTAAAATTTATTGCATGCTATTTAGTAATAGTAATGTACGAAAGAAATATGCATTGCTATGTGCATAAAATTAACAATGAACAAAATTTTAAATCACTTATACTTATTTCCTTTTGTATCATGCAAACTTTAAATACAAAAGTATACTTTTTGCTCAATAATTTGCATATCTGCTGCAGTACTAAAAATTATCTAATATAACTGGGTTTTAAAAATATACCGCAAACTTCTAGCCGACTCGAATAACTTTTAAAATTCTACAAACTGAGCAAATTTTTTCTTGACTTGTGCAAAAAAAAGCAGTATATTTTTTTAATATTACTGCAAAATGAACTTTTACGTACATGTAAAAATGAAGGCCGGACATATCTGAATATAGCAAACTGAAAGGAAGCAGAAATATTGCCTTAATATTCACTTATTTAATTAATATAATTTATTAAGAACAATAATTATGAACAATTGTTATGGAATAAGAATGTTCACCTCCATATAAACTATTTGCTAGGGCAATTTCGTTGCTATTGCAGGTAAATTGCAAATCTCCAAGCATCTTATCGAGTGAATTAAGCCAATCCGATGGCTTTATAGGTAAATCTGCGGGTTCATACTCGTGGATTATAGAAGCTAACGCTAACGAAGATTTTAGCATTTGACGGGGCAACAAGTTTGATATACTGTGTAGCCATTCTTCACGATTAGTCACAAAATCTTTTTTGATGAAAAAATCTTTGGGTGGAAAAATGTTCTGCAATTTAACCGCATTTAATAATTTTTTCAATAATGACTTCGCACTGAAAACCAATTAATAAAGTTGTTAGTTAATTTAACCTTGAAACAATTTGATCCATTTTATGCACAAAAAAATACTGGCTAAGACCAAAATTGAGTTTTAAATATAAACTTTTTAAAAATTTTCTTAGAACTTTATTATTATTGTTATTATTACTATTATTATAGTTTTTGTTAGCAGTAAATGCACAATCAAATCTATGTATTTATTAATATGCAAAATGATGAATGTAATACCATTTATAATTTGTTTTAAAAAAAGAATGCTGTAATTAGTATTGATATCAGATCTAATTTTAAACTGCACTTCTTTTTGAATGAGTGAAATTAAAATGAAGCTTCGTCTGAGGATTGAATTAGATTAGCATCATTATCATAGATGGAATTATCCATCACTTTTTTGCAATTAAGATTATGTCTCACTTATTTATATTTTGAGATGTTATTTTTTTGAATTATCATTTTTGTTCAAATATAAATCCAAAAATTTATGAAATGATATGTTATTTATAAATCATATAAAAAATTATTATGAAAAAGTTCATACTTGTTTTTTATCATAATAATACTGTTTACAGTATTTACCCTGTGATTATTTATTACTATTATTATAGTGAAAAAAAATGTTTATTAAAGTTTGAAAAGCTAATTTTATAAATATTAATACGTAAAATTAATAAAAATCGATAAAAAATTTTCAATTTTATAAATATATTTTTTTGAAAATATTTAATTAAAAAAAGAAATATAATAAAGTTTAACATACTCCAAGTTGATAAACAATAAAATAAATTGCTTCTTCAAGATTTGTACCAACTAGCACTTGAGTGAGTTTAAAATTTCCGCGTTTCAATGAAACTGATGGTTGCTCAATCAAGAAATCCCCGTCAACTACGGGTACCCAAGGAAAATCAGCAAATTCCATTACAGGAGCCCATTCCGAATTACGGATTGCTTCTGCGGGAGCATCCATCAAACAACGTAATACCTAAATTAATATGCCTTTTAATTCTATATTTTAAGGTTTATAATCTAAATTTTGTTCAAAAAGTTTACAAAAAATTTCTTCAAAATATTCAACAATTTATTATTATTATTACTATTAATCAATGTAAGTTTTATGTATCTGGTTCAAAAATAACCTCATCAAGATCCCAATTCTGAGGATTATTTGACATATTCCCACACCGCATATCATCATATAGAGCGACTGATCTTGCTATTGCTATCTGCCTTAAAAACTGATTAAAAATTTAAAATTTTTTGGCTCTTTTACAGTCATAAAATATCATTATTATAAAATAGAAAATTTTAATAATTATTAGAGATGACTGATTAATTAATTATGCACCTGGATTTAATAGCCCAAGGAGCTGTCGCACTACCACTTTGAATAATACCTCGTTGAAAATATGGAACACTTTTTGGGCTTAATAAGTGCATGGAAACTGATGCTGCACCAGCACTTTCTCCAAATAATGTTACCTGATTGGGATCACCCCCGAATAAATCAATATTCTTTCGAATCTACCAATGAATCAATCAAAAATAAGTAGATCAATTTATTAATCTTAAATATAAGTCAAATTACATCAGCTAAAGACTAATCTAATCTACATATCATAAATGTACTATGCATATCCTTTACTTCAAATTCAATTATTTTCAAAAATTGGAAATGAAATTTTCGAATAATAATTTTCCGTGACATCTTATAACTGATATTTATTTAACACTATATTGTATTAAATATACTTACAAAAACTTTCCGTGTTAACTAAATACTATAATTTGAAGTAAAAAGCCAAAAAACTTGACCGCTTGTTTATGTTATTGAGAATATCACAAAGGATTAACTTAAACAGACAACCTTTTCCACCCACTGAATCCCAATATTTATCATTGGAAGTAAGAGTATTTAAAAGTTAAAACTGATTACTGATATTAAAATCGTAAATAAAATATAAATTATTTGCATTAAGAAGTACTGCATGAACTCTACCCATTTGAGAGCAAGAAGCTGATCCCAAAGACCCATATTACCTGGAGCTTCTTCTCGACCCATATACAAGAAGCCAAAAACGCTTACACGGTAATTCATAGCTACGTATATGATATTTTCTTCACTAAAATGATTTTCGAAACTTTAAATCCCATAGTCAGTACTACTTACTAGTCAAATAATCGTAACAAATTTTGAAAAATTTAAAACTTTTGTGAAAATTTCCCATTTAGTTTGAATTTTATTGATGTTTTTCATTAACTGCATTAAGAGAGCTGTTCATTTAATTAAAATTCAAATTTGAAGGAAATAATTTTTAGTTATTAAATTTATTTACTTCAAACAATGAGAATGATTCACTCAGCCAAAAAAAAAGAAATTATAATTATGATATTTTTTTCTACGTTAAGAAATTATAATTATGATATTTTTTTCTACGGAAAAAAATCTCAGCTAGATTTTTACTAGCAACAATTAGTTTTAGCTTAAGGATAAAATGGTTTGAAAAGTACACCTTGTTAGGATTTTTGGATCATACACATCAAGTGATATACATCCTGACCAAAATCCTCCTCCATATATCCAAACCATAACTGGTAACTGAGTATTCCGGTTGATTCTTCCCGGAACAACTACATTGAGGTAAAGACAATCTTCAGATGTGGGCACATTGCTATTCCACATCGTTGCTCCTTGAAAATCCCCAAAATATGTATCCAAACTCTGTAATATTCATAATATATAATGATTATTAATAAATCAATATAGCAATATTAATTTTAATATGAAAATGCCAAGTAATTCAGGCTAATTCCTATTTGAATATCTTTTAGCATTTAATGCTATTATATTTCAATATATTCATAGCAAATTCACCTGTATGCAAGCATGGGGCATCTTTGTTGCATTTAGAGGTGTTCGCCAAGGTTGCTTCGGTTTAGGTTTCCGAAACCGCAATTGACCAACAGGGGGTTCTGCAAATGGTATCCCAAGAAATTCTGTAACCAATTTCCCGTTTTCACCATAGATTTCTCGACCAAAAAGTGGTGAGCCATCATGAAGTGTCACGAATTGACTAATAATCGGCTGTAATTACAAATAATTCTTTCTCTTTTTAATCAGCTTAAAGCTATGTCAATCATTCAATAACTTGAGATTTTTTGATATTTTGAATATAAATCAAAGTGATTTACAAAGAGTGGAATGGCCACCGATTTAAAATTTTGCGTGTTTTTTTAAGTTTGTTTTTTTAAAAAAAACAAAAAACAAAACATCAACGAACAAAGTTTGATTTTTTGCATTAATCCATATTTAGATATGATAAATTAGAAGAAGTCTTACCTTAAGTAATGCATTTATGAGCACCAAAAAATACAAAGCTATGTTCATTTTTTAATCTCATATATCCATAATTAAATTTTTTACTTGAAATGTTTGAATTTGATTTTCTCGTTAAATTCTGAAGTTAATCTGAAATAAGCACATCTCATATTCAATAATTGAAGTAGTTAATAAAAAAAGAATGGAAATAAATAGAATGCTATAATAAGGTGAAATCTGAACCTGAAAATTAATAACTTCTCTGAATGTGATCTTTTGTGCATTTGAAACAAAAGTATAACATTTCGGACAAAAAAATACACTGAGATCAACTATTTACTTTTCTTATAAAGCTTAAATCATTGAAAAAAACATTCACATAGTTAAATTTATTTTCCTTAAATTAATTATTTTTTGAAGAAAAAAATTATTTCAATGACAAAAATCTGTAAAAATCACATCACATTCAATGCACATTTTTACAATATATAACTTTATTGATATAAATCTATGCAAAATGTGAATCAAAGATTTGTAGTGATGTTATCAGTGATTTTATTACTTATCAGAGTATGGTTAGATATAAAATGATATTAGTTGATGTAAATTGATAGTTTCATAGCAAAAAATAAACACAAATTAAACTACGTAAATTTTCTACTTTCAGCCGATATAGTTTAAGATTTGTCACAAAACTGATAAATCATGCATTAGCATTCGCTAATCAAATATTATCAATGATCAATTAAAATACAAAAAATAGAAAACAATTAATTAAATATCTTTCCTTTAGTAATAAAGTAAGTTAGTAAGTATAATTACTTTTCTCTTAAGTGACAAAATCTAAATTGATACTTATATCTAACATGCCATAATTGATTAAATAATAATAATAAATAAATTAAAAGTTTACACCTTAATAACTATATAGCAAGTAAGCAATAACTACGAGAAAATGAGCATAAGTTATTTTGTGCTGAAAATCTAAAATAGTGGAAAATGATGAATTCATATGAACAGGTGACGACAATCTTATCATAGAACCTTTCAATCAGTTGGCAATTTTTAAAAAAATTTTTTTTTTTTGCCAAATAGCTCAATTTTTGCAAACATTTTTTTCAGCTTTTCATTTTTATGTCATTTTTAATTTGAAAATAAAAATAATGAAATTAGCAATTTTTGGTACAAAATTTTATGATAGAATAGCAAATTCAGCAATTATTCAATTATATTTTTTATTTATCAAAAATGACAGCTTTAAAAAGCTTTAATTTTTAAATATTATGTCCTAAAATAAAGCATTTCTGTTAATATTCATTAATTAATTAATTAGTTTAATTCACTAATCAATTAATTAATTAATAGATTAGTTTTTGAGTGAAGCAGTTTTAATAACTCACATTGAATGAGTATACTTAATAGAAAAAACTGAAAAACATTTTGCTAGCGTTGTAGTTTTTTTTTTAATTAGACAAATAATGAAACTATTTCTTGGTGAATTATTTCTGAATATTAATATAAATCACTCTAATAGTCTGCATAATTTCAAAAATATTAGTCTTGAATTCAAATAATTTTTCTAACAAAGTAATGAAAAAATTTCTTACCGAAGTAATTAATTTTATAGAATTTTTATAGATCGAATTCTTATCTTTACATAAAAACTTCATTCACATTCAACCCTCCATAAATTATCAGATATTCAGATATACAAATTTTACAGCTACCAAATCAGTAGGAGATCATTACTATTCATTACTTGCCAAAAAATCATTATAATCGAATTAATAATAATAATAATAATAATAATAATATTGATTGGAAGGAAAATAATTCAATATTATATACAAAGTAAATTTTGTTACAATGTCGACGATAAGCTGATTTTGTTAAACTTTTGAATAAGACTAAGTCTTCAAGTAAATTCAAATAATAAACTTAAAAAGCATTAATAATTTCATTATCAATTTTTTCATGAAAAGATATATTTGCAAATGCAATTAACAGATATTAAAAAAGATATAAGAAAAAATCGAGCTGATAAGGAGAAGACTGCGATTTTTTGTAATAAAAATTATCAATTTTGGGTGTTCTAAAATTAATTAATTTGAAGTAAAAGAACAGAAATAACTGAGATAAAAAATGAAGTAATTATAAAAATACAAATTAAATTTAAAAGTTAGTTTTTACATTTTTGATGTAACCTTTACAAACTATCAAAAATCAGCGCAAGTTGTGAAGATAACAAAATGATTGAGCAAGTTGCTGCAGATTTAAAACTAATCTTAGATCACAGGTGCAATTTACAAATCCTAGTCTCGATTTGCAAATGATATCATTCCGCTGAAATTCGGACTTGAAGTAGTGTAGTCTGAATCTCAACAAATCATTTTTGAAGATCTTACATAATAATTTTTGATTTCTAAATTTAGACGTAAGACTGATTTGATTAGATCAATTTTGAATAAATCCTTAAACAAATAAGCTATAATAACTTTATACTTTGATTTATTAACTGTATCTTGAATTCAACGCAATACAAACTAAGCAAACAATCTGAAAACTTAACTTTTGCCTTATGAAATTAAGTTTGAAATAAAAATAACAAACTTTTTTAATGCTTGACTTGTCACCGCTTGTTTACTCAATTAATTCTAAATTTTCGAAACAAAAAAAAAACATGTGATTTATACAAATGGATTCAAAATAATTAATTTGTCAGATCTATTTCAAGAAATCTTCGCAAATAAAGCTTGAAAACTTTAAACGTTTACTCTTTGAATGAATTTAATTTTAAGCCAAACAAAAAATAAGCTAACCTTTGTTTAGCACTTACAATTTAGATTTATTCGAATAAAAAACAAAAATGGTAATACTGTATTCTTGAACTATCTTTATTCGTTAGCAATCACTATGTGCGCAAAACTGATCAGGTTTCTTTATGCAAAAATGCCCAATCAAGTTATTCATTGTGAAATAATTTTGCTTAAAATAATTAGTAAAAAATAATTAGCATTTGCTTTGAGCAGAAGATAGTTTGAGCATTTATAGAGCTTCTTTGCTTTTATTTCTTACAAAGTTTTGGAATTTCCTTAGAGAATATTTTGGTATATTTTTTAAAAGTTAAGCAAATAAATTCAATTGAATGCTTTGTCTCAATTTTGTCTTGCAGAAAAAAGTATGCTTTCAAAGTATACAATTAAAAAGTATACTTTGAGTAATTTTGTTTAAATAAATAAAATACAATTTATTTATTACTAAAAATATTTATTGTAAACTGACAGATATCAAACAATTACTCATTATTATTAATTACTGATTATTATTTTAATCGTGTATGAGTAAATTAGCATTAGCTAATACAAAACGTAAAAAAAACAATAAAAATGATGAAAGTAAAAAATAATTTTACATTTACTAAGGTTTTAGGCATATTGGCACTTAAATAGTGAAGACTTCAGACTTGAGCCTTAAATTGAAGTTATGTATTCCTTGAAAAAAATTTAAAGTGCCTCTTAACGATGATTAAAATGAATGCAGTGGAAGTGGACAAAAAATAAATCTTAGAAAATTTAGTATCTTAACCAAATACAACATTCTAAAGCATATTTTTACTTGTGACTACTTTTTAATCACTTTGTAATGTACTAAAAAAATGCATAAAATGACAAAAATGATAAGTTAATTTATGCAAAAATTATTTTATCTGATAAATATACATAGTGCATAAATGAAAAGAACGAACGATAATGTCTTATTGCTTCATATAATTTAATAATTTTGATTTGTTTAGAGAAATTTGCGCTTTAAGAATTTGAGCAAAAAATAGAAAGCCTAAAATATTAATAAAACTACTCAATTTTTATTGAACAATAATAAAAAGCATGCAAAGAATTTATGGTTGTGCATGTACAAAGTAAAAATTTACTTTAATTAATTTGAATTTATTGCAGAAAATATAATAGCAATATGAAGAACAAAGAGATTTGTTCTATAAAATGACTAAATAAATTTACTAATTTTTTGCATAATTAAAGTTATTGATTTTATAAATTTTAATTAAATACTTTTGTAAAATTCTGAAATCAAATAAAAACGCGCATAAGACTTGACTACGTGAAATAAACGTATTCACGTAAAAAAGATTATTCTCGATTTTAAATAAAGAAAAGTGGTTAGTTTTTATCTAGCTTGAAACACACAAGCATTCTTAAAAGAGTTGTAGGCGTTTATTTTTAAAAAAGACATAAAAAATTGATTACAAATAAGAAAATTTTTTGTCCATTTAAAAAAAGCTTATTTTTCGTACTAAAAAATTTTTGAAATGGTAAGCTAAAGACAATTATGATCAGAAGTTAGGCGAAAGATTCAAATTATTTTCATCATTTCCAGCAGATGTTTCTATCTTTGCATCTCACTGCTTATTACAATGTTCGTTTATTTTAGAGAGTTTATATTACAAAAAAAAAAGATAAAACTTTGCTATTACAAAAATTTAATCACAAATTCAAATAATCACTCAAACATTAAGTAAATATTGTTATTGATTGATTAACTTTTCTGCTTACTACTAGAAAAACTACAGCTAATAATCAATCATTTATGTTATTTGTGAGGTTATTACTTTTTGCATAATTGCACATAAAAGATTCAAACTACAATTGTTTTGAGGAAATATAGTTGTAATCTAGCCAAAAATATAGTATAATCTTAGAACCTAATAAGTAATTTGATAGTTTTTACTGTTTATTCAATGTGAATATTAAAGCTGAAGAAAACTTGCATAAATTAAAAAATAATAAATATAAGATTTACTATTAATCATGAATTTTTGATAGGCTTTTTTATTATGCTCGAATTTTGATCAGAATGATAGAAATTTGATTTGATCACCGTTATATTCCAATCACATTCAACTACAGCAAGTCAGATCAGACTAGAATAGATCAAATCAAATTAGACTTAACTTCGAGTCAGCTGTTGTTCATTGGTTGCTTGACTATCTATTCTCAATATATTACGTAAGCACTCAAACTTTGCCAAAAATATCGCAACTTTTGTCGAAAAAATAAACTTATTATTATCGTTTTGTTAACAGAAGTGAATTATCTCTCATATATCACACAATTTAATGCTTTTACTCAATTAATTAGTAATGTAAATAATGATATTTTTACTTTATGGCTGACGTACTCTGTACTACGTGACATAAATTTATGTTAAAATTGGTTTCAGCAAACAAAATTACAAAACTTAATTTCTAAACGTGAAAAACGTGAAACTAAAGCTAAAAAATTTGGATTTCACTACATATTTAAGTTAAATCTCATTTTAACCAGTACAAAGTATTGAATTTAAACTTATTAAATAAATAAAATGCGTGAAATTAAACTTCAAAATTTGGCTTAGCAAATAGAACAATAAAAACGTGCATTAATTAACAAATAAAACTACCATGAATCTTCACGTTATTATTTCAGGATTATAATACTGAAATTGATTGCAGTGGTTAGAAAAGCGAATGGAGATGGTATAATTATTATGCCTCATTTATTTCCGTTACCAGTACATTCAATAGCGTTTTACTTAAAGTTGCTTTCATTCACGATATGCTCATCCAAAAACACGTGATCTTATTTTTGACGTACAATTTAGATTTTAAAAACAACACGAAAAATTAATTTAATCGTAATAGTTGTCATTATTATTTATTTAAAAGTACATAAAACGTTCAATAAGATATACCGATTGCAATGTCTTTTATGCATGATGAATATTAATAATCTTTTACAAAATGTAATGATCATATTACAAATGTTACAATTTAAAAAATAAAGAGCTGTAATATACAGACTTAGTTTTTACTGGATTTACTTGAGAATGAGTACTGTATTAATTCATGCTCTATGCGAAGACTAAATTAGCCTACTACGACAAATTGATTTTACCGTGGTCTTGGTTTTGTAGAGTGTGGGACGATACTTTGTTGCATATTTCTACGATTTTTATTATGGCCTATAACTTATGTATCTTTTGTTCGTTTTTTCATGTAGTTTTTGCCCAATGAACAGAGTAGATTGCACGCTAATTTCGCACTTTCAAAGTGATATAATTATTGTTAAAAGCATATTTGTTCTGTCAGCTACTAGTAGTAATGAGAATTAATAATTGTTAGAAATTAGTTATCAATATATGCGAGCAGTAATTTGTGTAATAATGTCTAAAATTTATTAGAAATTAGCTTGGAGTAAGTTTAAATTTAAATTTAAATTATTTAAAAGTAAAAGTTATCTTGATGTGAGATTCATTTATCAGCTTTATTTTTTGTATAATTAGCAAGTTGAAACTAACTCTTAATAAATTATCTAAACTGTAAGCAAAACAGTAATTGTTAAAATTAGTGAAGAGTTTAGCTTGATGGCTGAGGATTATAATTTGTTTTCGTTTTTATGAGACATTAGTATGTAAAATTTTGGAAAGCACACAAAAAAGTTTACATGTTGAGTGACCAGTAAGATATCCCTGCAGCGTTATTTAGGAGAGATGAGTAGTTGTATTTTCCGCTCTATTTTGCCTGAGTTAACTATTGATGTTGTTCCGGTATCGCTAAAATGGCAAAGCATGCTTCTTTAATTTCAAAGTAAAAAGGTGGTTTGAAGTTGATTTGCAGTCTGTATTAGATCTGAAAAATAATGCCGCGAAGCAAATCACGAGATCGAAGACGTCGCACACGGTCAAGGTCTAGAGATGACCGTCGGGATCGTGATAGACGTCATCGTAAAGAAAAAGATAGAAGGCGAAGGCGTGATTCAGATAGGGTTGTTTCTGATGATGATATTGGACCATTGCTTAAGAGAGAAAGAAGTGGGTAAGTATATTCTTATAATCTTTAGACTGATTTGTATTTAAAACAGGTCCGTTGAAGTTAATCTTCATTAGTGTCTACAGTTTTACTATTGGCGTATAAATTATAATTTGAAAATTGGTTATTGTATACAGCCTTCGGCCGTTTTGTTATTGGATGGAATAATGTACTACTTCTTTGTAGAACGAGTGGTAACCTGAATTCACCATCAACATCGTTAGGAGCTTTGGTAACTGAGTTAGGATCAGGAGTAAAGTTTGATGCGTCGCAGTTGAGTCAAGCAGCAAAAGAATGGTTAGATGCTCGAGTTACAGAACAGGTAATTTTCGTGTACATTTGACTTGGAAGCTTTTTGGAATGTATGCATTTGTGTTTTTGTCTCTCGTGAGTATTGATTGACTTTTGTCGTCTTTACTCAGCACGATCACTACGTCACTGGAAAATGATTTTGCATTTGTTCATTCAGTGGTACTTGTCGAATATCGTCGATATTCCCACTTTTCATTTTCCAAGCGCTATTAATCCGTTACTGTTTCTTACATTCCGAACCGGGTATATGTATCCTAAGTAATCTGAAAAATTACACCATAGTAATCAGGACGACACGTTCACGTACGCTCCCAGATATTCTCACCCAGTTGATCGTTATCTAAAGTAATCAATCAGCAACATACAAATTGTAGAGATCTAACAGCGTACCGAATTCGGGTTTAGGTAGAATATGAATTGTAATGTCGTGATTCAAGTTGAATTATTTATTATTGCCAGATCTCTATTTCTGGTTACATGCGTTCCCGGTTTTTTATTTATAGTTCGGGTTCTTAACAAGTTAGTTTATGCTTCGTTTCGTATTTAACACCGTGTTAGGTGTCACACAAAAACAGAACATTGAAGAATGGAGAAAGGCTGTCTGTCTGTGTGCACCTTGCGGCCGCTTAGTAGCTGAAAGGATTCATTTATGGAGTCCAGCCATATCATGGTATTTTTTAAAATTAGATTAATTTTGATTTAAATCTGTTGTGGTAAGTTTGCACACTCACACCGCGGTTTGGAACTAGTAAATTTTCTTGCCAAAGCTTTCATTGACACGATTATATCAGCACGTTGCGTGCAGCATTCACAAATTTCCAATTTACGTGAACTTTGTTTTTTATCCATTTTTCTTTTTTTTTAATTTGTTGGTGTTATAGGTAAGCGCAAGAGTAGCGGATCTGGAAATGCTAGTTCAGGAACGTGTTGCAAAGGCGCGAACAGATCTCGAATCTAGGTTGCGTTCACAAATTGAGCAAGAAATGATGCATGAAGTTGAAGAAAGTCATAGAAGAGAAGTGAGTGAAATTAACTTTGTTTTTAGTGCGTTTGTTGGCTAGAATTTTTCTCTTTCTTGAACTATCTAAAATTATGTTACCACTTATACGGTATTATAGGAAGAATCAAAGAAGCGATGCGCAGAACTTGAAGTTAGCCTGGGGAAGAAGATGAAAGAACTTGAAGAGATAGAAAAAAAATTGGTAAAGTTCATTACTGTACTTGGTAGATTTAGTGAGATTAGAAGTAGTAGTTTTCGTTAAAGCCATGTTTCAGGAATTTGTGCAATTACAGCCCAGTCAACCGCTCAACAGCTGTTTGAATTATTTTGAATTGTAGTAAATAATTTTATCACTCGATATTGACTAACGAATACTTTTGTTAACCCCAACCGAAGTTTGTTTGCTTCGGGAGGATATCTTTATGATGTGCTTAAAATTTGCGCATCATTTCTTGGACTATATATCACGACAAAACAGGAAAGCTTCTAGTAAGTGTTCCATTGGCCGATAAGATGTTTCAATGTCAAAGCGAAAAACACGAATTGATACTACTGACCGAGCAGTATGTTCATTCAAATGAGATTTTATTAGAATCGTGATTGGGCAAATGGTTTGAACATTGCATTTTGATTCATAATTAACGTGTAGGTTGTACGTGATTGTTAGGGTCCAAAATATTAGCCTGTGGATGTTTGTGATTTATTTTGTTCCAAGAAATTATTTGGAGTGTCTGGCACTTTGATTAGAAGACGTTTTGCAGAAGCAGGAACGTTTGCTAATGCTGGAGACAAAAAGCAAGCTGGAGATGGAGCGGAATGCATTGGTCCAAGAACGAGAATTGTTAAGCAAAAGTGAGCAAAAAGCGATATTGAATAAAGGTGGAACAATGAGGGCGCCAATCAAGTTGAAACTTGGCTTCAAATGAAGAAGTTAATTATTGTGATGGAGAGGCAGTGTCGTGCAACACATGGAAGTGAGTGATTTGTAGGATACAAAGTGATATCTGAAATTTTCCTTGTTGAAGTAATCAAATATTTTTTAACATATCGTGTAAATGCTGAAAAGCAATTTGTTCCCGTTTTCCTTGTCTTCTCTGTGTTGTTAATATTATTTCTCATTCAACAGTTTCTAGCTTTCATTATTGGGCATACTTTGTATATACGAATATTTCTCACTTTGTAATTATGCTGAGACAAAAACATTTTGTTTTCCACAAAGGAAGATTGATTTCTGGAAGTCTTGGCTGACTGTACTGCCAACTCGTCACTCTTGTGATGAACAATTCTATGCCACAAAAGATGGTTTTCTTATTTTTATTATAGTTCATTACATGTAAGGTCTTGTATTCGTTTCCTTCATGTGACAGAGGCAATTGCCGTGATGCTTAGTGAACCACATTAAAGTTTTACTATGCTTGTGTGGGCCATATAGCGACACTCGAATTATAAAGCAACAAGTGGTTAACATCGAACTTTCTATAATCAAGAACGCATCTTGAGGCTAAAGTTCATTTCATTAAATTTACAGCAATACTGACACATGATTACAGCACAAAACAGCGAGTAAATCAATCTATAAAACAGTCACAGCGTAGAAAGTGGCCGCAATCCAAACAATACATGACATTGATTTTGAGTAAGATGAAGACCAAAAAATGAGGCCAAGAAGGATTCCGAGCTCGGGAGATGTGTTGACACGTTTTTGGGTTTAGCAATTTGGTACATTCCTTACAGCTATTGAAAAAACTGGGCATCTAATTTGTCTAGATTCGCATCCTCAGAAATTAGGTGCCTTATTAACTGGGTCTCGAAATCTTTCTTGATGATATTGAAATATGTGATTTCACCCTTCCTCTTCGTCCAAAATGCGCAAAAGAGCTTGAAAATTTGACCTGAAAGTTTTGAAGTTATAGTAATTGTAATGTATTAATAAGAGATATGAAGAACATACAATAGGCGTGGTGGAAGTTATTGATTGTTGGAGCACCAGGAACAGTATTGTAGAAGTGCATTTTCAATGCATTTTCCGTAAGTAATTGCCGAGTCAAGGCTGTTAAGTTGATTCCTGTGATTGCCATTGGAAAGCTGAAAATAGACGGAGTAGCGTCCATAATTTAAATTTTTGTGCCTTCCTAATTACTAGCAGATGATATCAGAAACTTCAAAGTTTACTGCTCTGAATTAATGAAAAATACCAATGAATGCAGCAAAAGAATGGCATGTCTAAATTTATTCAACGATAAGGGGAAGTAATTTTTCTTTTACAGGATTCTAAAGGAGAAAATCATATTCTACTGCTTGATCCACCTTCTTTACGTACTGATCAATGTAGGACTTACGATAACAATGTTGTAGATAAAAATCATTTCAAATTTCAATCTAAATTATGCAATGCTGAGTTCATTACCATTAAGCTGAGTAACATATACTTGCTAACCCATGCAAAGGATGATTAGAAATAGAAAGGATTGAATGTGCATGTGCAACATCATATTGGGCCAAGAAAATGAGTTGATCAAGTGACAAAATTCCCATACCACGAAAATCAGTGGCTGGATCGCAACCCTAAATTTGCTAAACTTGGAACATTTCACAAATTAACATATTAATGCTAAATGAGTACTGCTGCTGTTACTTTTATGAATAATATAACTTTAAATAAATAAGGAGGAAGTAAGCTGACTTTGTAACTTTCAGTTCGTTATAGCAACTACGTCATAAGTAAAAAAAGTGTTATTCTGAGACCGAATGAAATAGAATGAGGAATCAAATTAGCTGATATTCACAATAATAATAATATTACAAGTAGAACTGATTCCAAACTAAATCTTCTCATATCAAACTTTTACCTGAAAGCCAATTTTTTGCCACTGATTTGTTATTCTAGTTCGTAAATCTTCCATTGGCATTAACAAATCCCATAATTTCAGTAACCTGCAAGCACGAAAATAAAATCATACGCAATCATATAAAAAAGTAAAACAGACTTCTTTTCGTGTTTTTCGTTTCCTGGGTCGTACTTTTCTATACGCAAATCCTCGACAGCGTCACATAATTCCCGATATCCTCGTATCTGACCAAGTGACTTTTTCAGTGAATCTCTCATCTCGTCAAACTGCTTGTTCTCCACTTTTGAGCAATATTTATCAACAATTTCAGTCGCCTGATTTTGACTATTTTAATCTTGACATATTTCTTGTTTACAACAGTATTATATAAGAAGTCCCGTGATGAAATATAGAATTAACGTTTGTTGCACGATCTACAGTCCAAAGAAATATGCGAGCACTTATCATAGCTTTAATGTGAAAAAGGCTTACAACTTACAATTTCGTACTCTTGGTCAGCATTCCAAATCTCTGAATCCAACTGTATTTCTTTTTCATTAATGAGTTTCTCCACTTCAGCTGTGATCTGACCCTTATGAGTGCTCGTGAAAGCTAACTAAAGTAAGGAAGTTGCGTAAACTTTTCACAAATCTTATTAGCTTTGATACACGTCTGATAAAGTCTCATGATTCATAAACATGAAAATATGTTCACCATTCTTTCCAATTGTGTTTCGCCAGTTACAAATAAAATAAACCAGTTTAATACAATTCGTAATAAACGTCGGTATAGAAAATTCAGATACTGAAATATACCGAAAGAAGAAGTGCTTTTATTATCGCTATTCATGAGGCTTACTATTGCAAAACCACAGAGAAAATGTCTGCAAATACCATGTGACAAAGATATTTAAACAGTAGCAATGCCACATAAAGTTTACTGTAGTCATCAATAAAACAGTTAATACTAAGAATAAGTTTGAAATCGAATAATTCAAGTCAAATTTTAACCATCACTGAATTTATCTACATAATTTAAATTGTTTCTGCACGTCTTAGCAAGACTTAATTATATACTCAATGCTTATGTGCTTAAGATAACTGATGATGTGCAAAAAGAAATTTCACGTTACTGCTATTCCGCTAGGCAAAAACGAACAACAGAATACACTGATATTTATTATCAATACAGGTTGTAGTGAAAATACGATGAAAATATCACGAAACAGTTTCAATTAATAACAACGGCATTCAAAAACAGTGTAACAAAATTTCATTGTGCTAATGTGAGAAACTACAAATCTGAAAACCCAAAACTTTGACACTTTTCACATGCAAGAGTGAACAACAATAAAATGACAGAAGATAATAAACTTGATAATTTTTTGACCTTTCATGAAATGATTAATGATTCATGATTCTAATGTATTTTCTGCAGAATACGGAATAGTCGAATTATAATGCTCGCCTAGACCAAATGCAAATCGCTGGAAAACAATTTGAAGGGGTTCCTTGCTGTCAAACTCTTTCCCAAAACACAAGATGCAATTTTCTTGTTGAATCACTTCTACTGGCCATTCCAACGCACATGAAATAGCTCGGAGCTAAAATAACAAATTTTTTAACATTAAATTCCAATACGAAATATCTGGAAATTAATCAAATATATTTCCATCGTGATTACTGACTTTTAATGCTCACCCAGACTCTTTTTTTATTTCTTCAAATATGAAGGAATCTAGCAGTAAATTAATGAACAGAAAGCTTAAATTTTGACGTAAGTCAAAATCTTTCCATGCTCATAAAGCTTTAACAATTAATGCTAAGTAAATTAATGAATTGATAAATTAAAAATTGTTAAAAGGAAACCAGAAAGCATGTTATTTACGCCTTTTCATGAGTGAAGAATTATTTTTTTACAACAAATGTATTAATAGATTACTACATGTTTCAGGAAAAGAAGAAAAGGTGTGTAAACTAGCACGACAAATTTTTTTTGAATTTAGAAAATTTACCGGATTCAAAGTCAAAATTAAGAGGATATACTTTAAATCACTACAGTACAGTCGTATTAAGACAATTTGCAAACTAAACAAAAATGCTAGGAACTCATTTATTAAGTATTTATAAAACTGAAAAAAGATTGGACTCAACCTCTGGTTCTCCACCCCATACTCCGCCATCTCTGCAACTTTTTTCTACTTTCATACAGTATTCATCGAATTCAAATTCATGCAAAGGATTACCATCTTCATTTAATAAAAATGGAAGAAAATCATCTTTGTGCTTTCGCATGTACGCAGATGCTTTTTGCCGAATATCTTCACTTTTAAACTGAAACAGTAATAAAATAACTATATCGACTAATAATGAGTAGTTTTAACTTCACGCGAAATTGAATTTATCAATAAGCATGTTGCCAAGATTGTGAAGCACTGAACAAATAAGTAATTACTTCTCCTAATGTTCGAAGGGACAATTGATGAGCTACAGCACTATACAGGCAATCACCATCAGACACAATTTCGTGCAAAGTGAGTCCTCTTTTCCTTAAGTAATTCTCAATTGCTTCCCTTTCAATTCTGCCTAAAAAAATGATAGCTTAAAGAGATATAAAGATTCTTTTTGTCCACACCGTCATAGATGAAACAATATTTCTTCGACAAATATGCAGAGTAGGCAAAACCACTAATTTTTAAATCTAAATTATTATTTGCATTGGAATGCACTGAAACTGAATAACGAAAGAACTCTCACTAGGGTTATTCCTCGTATTCGCCTTGGTTTGTAATATAGTTTCTTCTCGTTTTTTAAACAGCTCAAGTTTTTTCTCCTACAAAATTTTCGATATGCATCTGAATTCACCAATAAATTAGGAGTGGGAATTCAGATCAGAATAGACAGAAATAAAAAAATAGTGTTTTAAAACATCAAAACATATTTTTGTCTTTAAAAACTGGACACAAGTTGAACTGCATGAGGTTTATCACCATTTGCCAAAAAATTAAATTTGTGCTTCGTTTAAAGTGGAAACGAATTGAATAGCATAATCGATCCGGAGTTCTAAATTTTGTTTTGAAGTCAAGAATAATGTTACTTACGCGTCTTTTTTGAGCTTTGGATACATGTGGTTCACGTTGTTTTTTTGAATCTGAACTGACAGAAGTTTCTGCTTCAAATGGCCGCAGTTTTGCTAGTTCCTACATGTATTATTAAAATTTGTGATTACTATTACGTCTGTACTATATTTCAAAAAATAGTAGAGGTATTTTGTATTTGATGATGATTGAATATATTATACCAATTCATGACGATTTTTTAAGCTTTCCTCCATTTCGGATATCTTAATAGCAAGCTCTTTCTTCTGTTTTTTGTCTGTTTTGGCAACCGAGTTTTTCATCCTCATCACTTCAGCTGCACAATTAAAAATGTGCTAAGTTTGATATTAACATTAAGTCTTTCAAATAATACCAAAATTTTCTTTCTCAAAAAAAAAAACCTACAATTTCTTATCTTGCTGTATAAACGAGAAAAAATTAAAGAAAATGCAAATTATAAAACAATTTAAAATAGAATGAACAAAACCTATAAATAATTTTATAACGAAAGAGATGACTGTTTTCATAACACGAAGATGTTATCTATGTAAGGGAATATTAATGCATGAATATAACATGAAGTTTATCATCATTTTTATTTTGGAATATAGCCTAGTACCTAAGTGAATAAGAAGACTGTAAGACAGAAACAAAAACTGCTAAAATATAATAAATAAAGGCATCAACAGATACACTGCAATTCCTTTCGCTCTTTTCGTTGGCGTGCCTGCAGTTCCTCCAATCCAGTCATATTTTCTTCGTTTTCTAACATTTTAACAAAACGAACTGAACATTTTCTATATATCTGAAACATAATAATTAAAAGCAATTTAAAGATAATTTATAGTCTATAAAACAAGCAGAAAAGAAGTACGGTGTAAAAGTTTTTCAACAAATTTATAATGCATATTCGCTATGCATCTACAAACTTATTTTAATAT